ATATGCGTTTTTGCTGCCTGTTGCAGCGCTCTAGCGCTGCACGGCAAAAACGCATAAAAAACGGCGAGCGAAAGGAATGGTACAGAGACAGAGGAAGGAAAAACTCATTCAAACTTAGGCTCATTTTATCAACATGATTTTAAATTTTCCATTGTTGGTATTAGCTCCTTTTTGGCAAATTACATCAGATGGGAACTGAAAAAAGATCCCCAGAACTATGTCAACTGGAGGTGAATTGTAACTTCGTTCTGTGTACGAAATGAACTGGAGAAGAATCACCACAAAAAGGTTCGCATCAGATCATCACTTTTTAGATGTGATTCAAAACTGGATTTTTTAAGCATCTGCATTACCAGCGGTAAATAAAAAGAAATATCCATTTTTTTATAAGGGCGCCAAAAGTACTGGGTAATGACGTGGGATTCTCGAGATGTCGAGATTTAAGTGTTTCAAGCACGCAGAAACTATCAAGTTTTAGAATCTATTGAAAACTAAAAAAGACAAGTAATAAGGCGACCTCACGAAAAACTAACATCAAATGTAAATTCGAAAATGCCTTGCTTAAGAGCAATCGTGGTGGTGGAGCACAGCGATCCGGTGATGATAATCCAAATCGGGCAGGACAGAGCTGAACGAGAACTGCCTGTGACCAATAAAACACGATACAGCATTTCTAGAAAAAAAAAGCTTGCATAAAGTGGAGGAATTCAAGTCGAGCGTTTTATGGCAGATATTCAGCAAAAGAAAAGTAAGCAAATTCAGTTCTCCCTCCTGCTTTATTTTCTTCACACTTCACTCGTTAATTTCGCTAAAATCTGTCTAGTTGAAAAAGTGCCTCACAATGCAGCGCTCAAGGCGAAGTGGCAATAACCAACACACAAAAATTACGATTCGAAACAGCTAAAGCATTGCCATTTGCTTCTGTTGGGAGAACCGTTGAACTGATGATTCTTTAAAGAGGCGGAACCGATATGAGATGGTCAGCAACTAAAATCGTCTTTCCAGCCGTTCTAGCAATTCCTGCCCCTTCCCTCATATCCGATTTAACGGTGGCTCATTTTGATCAACTGCTTCGTGCTGCCCTAGCGTACTTTTGCTGTAGCAATGAAGTTAGTTTCCAAATGAGTATTACAACAGCATAAATGAGGTGAAAACCTACTCGTTTTTTTAAAAGTATTCGTGAAACAGTAAAAATCGGCGGCATTTAGCGATAATATATGGTACAGAAATTGCTCCTTCTCATCATCGCATCGCAAAAATGCATACCGCTTATACAACTGCCTGAAACAGCAGCCAACCACTTAATACTACTTCACTGAACAGCACAATACCCTTCGTGTATCACACAAACAAATCAGACGCAAAGAGTTCCAAACAAATACAGAAGTCAGAAATGTATAATTTTCATGACTATTATGTGTTTTTTGCATCTATGCAGTGCAAAAACGCACACTGTCGAGGGGTTGTCTGCGTGTGCAGATCTGTATGTATGTATTTCTGTGTGTGCGCCTGTATCGAGTTTTCATCTCAACACCCAAAAAAGCTACAAAGTTGAAACTCTGAGAATTTAATCTATACTCATGTATAGGCCCCCATCTCCAAAATGGACGCTCTTGCACGTGTGATTCCCATGGAAAGTTTCTGGCGGGTAAGCTACTAGTTCGGGAACCAGAAAAGATAGAGAGCCTAAATTTTAAGAGGATACTCCCCCTCCACATAGAATTTGATGACTTCAAATTCAGCCCCCGGTAAGCACCCGTGAAAAGTTTTGGTGGGTAAGGCGCTAACACAGGAACCGGAAAAACTGGAAAGTTGAAATTTTAAAGTGATGTTTTCTGACAGTTGTGGTGGCCAGTCCCAATTTCTTTTAGCACCTGCCGGGACAGTGGCAACAGTGACAAAAACCAGTGGGGAATTGTGCAAAAAACGCATTTTTATAGCGGCAGTCGGTGCGCTGGCCAATTATTTTTAGTATGCTGCGGACTAACGACTGGGCAATTGGCAACTTTTGCAGTTGCTCTGAACAATGTTGCAACGCGCGGTGTCAGCTTTACTGAGGATCCTCTTATTAATTTTATCTCCTGAATGAATTACTAGCTGAACGTAACTCCTCGAAGAAGCACATGCAAAAGCTGCAGCTGTTCAAGCGTCGTCTCATCGACATGCTATACTTAGAGCATTTGTGAATTACAGCTCTTCCAATTGCAGCAGTGAACCCAGAGGAAGAGTAAAGAAGATTAAAAAAGGCCGCCAGAGACGTACAAGAAACAAAAAAAAATGTTAAATTAACAGTTGGCCAGTGAGAAGTAAATTTTAACAAAGGCAGCGCAAAACATTGATAAAGTATTGCAGAATTTGGCTGAGGAGCATCAACCCAGCTGGAATTTGTGCTAGGATCAAAAAGCAAGCTCGAAAAGGCAAAGTAGAGCGCTAAAAGCGTCGGGTTTCACATGGATTAGAATGAAATTAAAGTTGTAACCGGAAGTGGGATAGGAACTGGTAAATTAAAAAAGTCTGAAAAATTAGAGCATAAGGAAATAAAAGCAAACTGAACGGTGTTAGGAGAGAATTAGAAATGAACGGGACCGAGGAAAAGAGATTCGAGCACACTCGTACATTCCCAATTTTCCTGACAAACATGTGCCACACTACTGGCGTAAGCAAAAAGTGAAGAGTTCATGGGTTTCAGTATAAAAGTGGCTTTAAGATGAAAACTGACTGGAGCAGAGTGAAGTTGCCAAGGACTGTCTGGATGTGCTTGTGGAGAAGTTTGCGTTCCAATGCAAGTCGTACAAAGGCTCGTGCATAGCCAATATCGGTCTTTATATCTGTCATGCGCAGCACATTCCTGCAATAATATAATGAATTAAAAACTGAGTCTGGGCAACCAAGGAGATATCAATTTAGTTGATTTTTTTGTAAAAATTATTTTTTTA